TTCTCAGGGCCATCCATTTTGTATAATCTACAATATTTCCATTGGAATCTCAGTCTATTGCACTTATGTCATTTGGAACCAACTCCACGCCAGGGCACCATTTTCCTTTCTCTACTCCCTCTAAGATTCTTCCCTGACAGTGCAAAGGAAAAAGAAAAACCAATCCTTTAGATCATCTTAGACAGAAAACTTGTCATGGGCTTTTATTTAAAACTGATTTTTTTCATTAGGGAATGAATAAAAAAAACTTTGGGCCATACTGCTGCCCTTGACAGCAACATCAATCTGGTATACACATTTTAAAAAAAATACACAAACATACATATTGGCCATAGTAATATACATTTAAAAAAACACACATATACAGACCATTAAAAACTTTAAATCTAAAATAAAGCTTAAAAAGGCATATGGAACTATCGTGGCATTTTAGTTGGAAAAAATCCAATTTAGTTTAGTGGTTCCTTGTAAATTATTTTATAAATTCGCAGGAATGTAAGCAATTGTCTAAATAAAAAAAATAAGAAAATGGGATATAATCAACAGATTAGGGATGCTAATCCAATTAGCATCTAGCACAGTGCCTTGGCACACAGCAGGTGCTTAATAAATGTATGTTGAAGAATGAAGTCTGCATTATTTTGAAAAGCCCAATTAGGGCAGATATTACTTTTTTTTTAAATGGGGAAATGGCAGATGTGTGAGATGACAACAACTAAATCTTTTTTAAATTAAGAAAAAATTACAATTATGACAATGCTTTAGAAAGTATTAGTACAAGACAACATATATTTATAATTTTACATACCTCTAAAAATTATTATATACACGTAAGACTGAGAAAAACTGTGATTTGTCTAATAAAAAAACTACCACAAGAGGAACTGTGGCAGTTATAAACTTTTTAAAATATGTGGCCTGACAAATATAGGGAACTATCTGTTTAGAAAGTAATGTTGTAAACTGCTTCATTTTGGGCCCTTCAATTTCAGGACTGCCATTCTTTGTTTTCATTAATCAGTTATCTTGAACATTTATTGAACACCGTTGTGGTCACAGAACTGTGCTAGATGTTATTTTTTTAAAAAAAATCCACATAAAACCAAAAGGTCACTGTATTATCATCGATTTCAAAGAAGACACAGTGACTTGTGTCTTAATTTTAAGTTTCTGCTCTTCTGAATGAATCAAAGGATTCAGCAACCATTGACACATAAATTCAGAGACTTCATAAGATGCTCCTACTACATAAAGATATTCTTTAATCATTCATATCTTTAGCATAGATTATCTGGGGGCACTGCTATGCACTCTGAAACATTATTAGGTGTTGTTCAGCAGTAACTCTAGTCACGTTTTGCTTTAAAAAAACAAACAAACAATAAGGAAAGAAGCTTCAGAAGCATTTAGAATAATTTCAGTGCTATCACATGCAGTCTTTAGACCTATATCTGATGCCTGGAAATAACTAAGCCCTGTAAAAGTGAGAAAGGAATACAATTTTGAATACATCAAACCTAATTTTCTGGTATATTATTTATTATTACTATATTATTTAAATGTTATCTCAAGGATGACCCTCCTGCTAAAGTTCTTGGAAAGAAAAATGTCATGTTGTATTCCAATTGTTATATCACACTTTTGTTTGGAATAGCAAACTGTTGCCTCATTCACACTACCCACCTTTACAGAAAAAATACACAATGTTCTTTTATATACTCACTAAGGAAACATGTAACAATCACCCTAACGGTAATTTAGTCTATGTCTTAAAACCTTCCAAAAGCGACCAATTCTAGGAGTGATTTTTTGACATTAATTAAAAAAAAAAACCCTCCAGATTTGTTATACATTTGAGTCCTTCATTCCTCAGACTGGCAGATGTAAGAGATATCTCAAAATTTCTCTTCTACAACATCTTTAACTAGAAAGCCCCCACTCTGCTAATGGGAATGCAGCTGGGCCATAAAACCACATGGAAAGAGGCTGCCACAGAAAGCGGCATCAGAAACAAGTGACAAGGGAAAGCATAATTGCTAGATTAATAATAACAATAATGATGATGATCAAAGTGTGTTACAGGTTATTTCTTTTGACCCTCACAACAACCCTGATCCAGAATTCAGATTAAGAATTCAGAAGACTAAAGGGGATCCTGTACCTTTAATATGAAAAAAAAGTGTTAGTCTCATTACCATAGGAATTCAATGTTTTTTATTTTCCCACAAATATATACCAAATGTGCACAGGATTCACATGGCTATTCTACATATGTAGGAGGGGAACAGTCTCTTAATCATCCAAACAGTATCCAAAGACTGACAAAGTTAGTATTTAATGGAATAGAAAGCTCAGCCGCACAGATTTTCCCACTGTTATCAGTAACCCAATTTACATTCTACAGGATCCCTGCACTGTGTTCAAATCAAAAGAGCACCTGTTTTGTATTTATGTTATATTCAATTTGTAATTCCACACATCCTCAAAATGGAACAGGATAATAAAAACTTTTTTTAAAAAGATGATTTCACACTGTAGTGTTTGAGAACACTGTGGCTGCTATATAAAATACATGTTTCCAAGCTTAATTCAAGTTATTTCACGGGGCTATGATGGATTTTGAATTATGGAATGGCCTAGATTTCTAGGTCTTCTCTGCTGAATGGCTTGGATCAAACTGGTTTTTTACATACTGCTTTCAAAAAAAAATTACAACTGGTATCTGCCATTTGTCTTCAAATGAGACTATTATGTGAACCATGGTAAAGCGTTATTTCATATAGGAAGGGTGAATGTTTTGGGTTTTTTTTTCCTCGAAAACATTGATCAAATCACTTAACCTCTATGACTCAGTTTCTTTATATCTAAAAATGTAATGACAGTACCAATTTACTTTGGAGAACTGGTATTATGAGGATTAACTAATAAAAATACTAGTGTTTACACATTTTGAGACAATATATTTTGCCACAGGAATTCTTAAAGGAAAAACAAAAATCTCCCTAAAATATAGGAAATCTTAGCTTTCAATTAGCAATATATGCTATCTTGTTTTAAAAAATAAAATCTCCTAAGAGGTGCTCATTAATACACACACTCCGTTAGCTTCCATTGTTACTTATGCTCCATATGCATTCTAAAGCCTTTGTACATTCATATGTGCACATGAACACAAATGTATGCATAAGAACGGCAATACATAACCGTGACACTGGACTTCTATGGGCGATTCATTTCTTTCAGCTACAGGTATTTGATTCTTCAAAACTGTCCTTTAAGGGGCAGCTAGGTGGTGCAGTGGATAGAGCTCTGGCCTTAAAGTCAGAAGGACATGAGTTCAAATCCAGTCTCAGACACATGACACTGACTAGTTGTGTGACCCTGGGCAAGTCACTTAACCCCAACTGCCTCACCAAATCAAAACAAAAAAACCAACTTGTTATCTAAAATGTCAGTTTTCAGAAAGTGGCTGGAGAAGAAGTTTTTATGGGAAGATTTAAATTATTAAGACAGAAAGTTCCCAAGATAATTATAATTTGTCCTTCTTAATATACTTCCTGAAGTACTGCAAATTATGAAATTCTAAATTTGACCTCATTAAAGTAATGAGGCAATATTTTTCAGTATTTGTAAACATTTAAAGTGCTACATAAGGTAAATAATAACAACAGCCATTACTATGTTACACTGACAAGCAAGTACAATGGTTAATTTCTTAGACAAACTTTTAAAAAGTTGACAAGCTGAGAAAGTACCTTGTAAAATGATTTAAAAAGGGGGGATTAAAATTAGTGTTAAAATTTTAGATGTTGTCACAGTGATTTCCCTCTAAATTTGTATTAGACAGATGAATTAAAACTCACCCTCCAAAAAATGCCGTAAATAATTTTGAAAAATATCATCTCTAATCCTAGGAAGCTGTGTTTATACAAACCTAGACAAAACTGGTTTTAGGGAGAAAGAGTAAATTCAAACAGTCAATTACAGACTCACAAAACTTCAGAGGAAGAAGAGACTTGGAAGATCCTCTAGCCCAATTCCCTTATTTCACAAATGAACAAACAGACTAAGAGAGCTGAAGCGGCCCGCCTAAGGCTACACTGTGGCCTAACTCCCAGGCCAATGTACTTTTCACTAAACTCTATTAGAAAACAATACTATTTTACTAAACTCTTTAATAGCCAGAGATTTAACAGAATGCAATTCCCATTTTCAAAACAGGTTTGTGGTAGAACCACAGCCTAAAACAGACTTGAGTTTCTAAGCAGTTGTTTACGCAGCTGAGATCAGAGAGATCCTTACAAGAGTGGCAAAATTATTAAAGCATTATAAATGTGAAATGTCTTTGAATACTAATATTTCTAATATTCATCTACTTTAATTTATTTTCTTAAAAAGGAAATAGTATTACCTTGTTAATTTGATAGAGGAACCTAATTCTTTAATAAAAATTCTCCAGGTGCTAACATAGACATGGCAGATAGGTAAGGTTATAATAAAATGCTAACTCTTTTTGGTCTCTGGCCAAAGTCTAACATCCTCTTAGTGAGTGACTCCTTCTATTTATTTTTATCCATCTCTCCCACCTTCTTAATCAATGTCAGAGAGAACCTGCAAGGACTTTGTCTCATAAATTTTTTTTTTAAAAAGTTGTTCCTATCTCTATTTATGGCAAATGGGAGCGGGGAGGGAAGTGTATTTTCTGTAGAAGATCAAACTTTTTCATGGTTGAATTATTTTTGAAAGAAAAAATTAGATATATTTATGGAAGAACTAATAAAGTGAAAGGAATGACCAAACGTTATCTAGAACACCTTTAACTCTGAGAAAATGTAAACTCTACTGCCAGGGAGGGCTTTTAAAAAATGCTTTATCATCTGGCTTTCATTTACACAATGTGATTTTTAAGAGAACAGCCAAATAATATAAAACTTTAAGCTATTCTGTTTTTCCCCCATGTGACAATTAAATATTAAAAGCCACAGGCTAGCAAATGCAAAATTTATTTCAACTGTACATAACAGATGTCTTTTTTTTTTATAAAACAAACACTTCATTGCCATATGCAACCACAAACAATAATATGCATACTGTACAATACAATGCAACATTCAAATATACATCCAATTCATAGTCTCAAACGGCAGTCACCTACTAAAAGATGGCTTTTCCCATTCACAAATGAAATCGACAATATATAAATGTATATGTATATATATTTCAATGCTTTATGTCACTATGTACATGTTACTGTGTTTTGGCAACTTTATGCAAAACACTCAAGTAATAGATCATGATGTGAATTTATGGTAAATACTAATTCATTGGAAACATCATTTAAGCCATGTGTAAAAGTACTGACAATGGCTCACACCTATCTTCTAATTCATATTCTTCATTTGTTCATTATTATACTAACTGTACACATATATTACAGAATTGCATAAACATAAGGTACTATTATCAGCTTAAGTTCCACAAAAATAGAAACACTGAACCTTTGGACTGCATACCACCATTGACACACTGGTATATCTTTTTGTAAGTTTGTTAAAGCCTGCAGCACTAATACTTTTAAACCAGTTCACAACAGTTCATGGTGTAAGACAAAAACAAAACAAATTAAAAACTCAAAGGACAACTAAAACACCCCCCCAAAACAAAACAAAACAAAAAAACCCCACCCCACCAGATTTTTCTTACTCTATAGTGATCTTAGCTTCAACAAAAAATGTAACCATAATGATGTTAATTAATTTCTATGACAAAGAAAGATTTTGGTGCATAAAGCATCAATAAAAACTTCAGATCTCTATTACCAAAAAGTTCCTTAGTGTTATAAAGAAAAATTCAAGTTCAGGAACTATATTTCAATATTGTGATAATCGGTACAGTTACATAGTAAACAGACATATAACAGAGTTCTTTAAGTAATGGCCTTGAAAACAATGCAGAAAGCATTAATAAATATTTGCCCCACAAGTTAGATACTATAAAAAGATCTGTGATATGAAAATTAAAATAAAACTAAATTACAAAGTGTGCACAAATATTGTAGTACTGTTGACTTTCTTAGAAAATTCAATTCTCCATGTAAATTAACTGCATACATAAACCTGATCATCTTGGAATATGAATAAAGGATTCTGGGTTCTTAAAAAAATTTTTTGGGGTGAACTTTTTAATTTGCACTGGCCAACCTTCTTTAAAATAGGAAAATACTGGGAAAGTAAATAAATCAGTGGCTATACTGCAGCCAACTGAAATTTCTTAGATGAGCAGCTTTGCTAAATTATTTCATTAAGACTCACCTTCCTTGTACAATCAACTCATATCACATTAAAACACGAAGTTCTAAGTCTATTGGATTTTTCTCTCAGGTCTGGCAGAGATTCATTAGCACCTTTGGGCTGGTGAGCAACAGGCTCCACCGTCCAGGAAAGAAATGTGTATAAATTGTGCTAGAGCTCTATAAAAAAGAAAACCAGGACACTGAATCCATAGATTTGTGCATGTGTAGATATGCTTGGGGGCTTGGAAGGGATATAAAGGGACAGGCAGATTACAGTCACCTGGAATTACAGCCACCCTAAGGAAAGGAAAAAATGAAAATGCTCAAATGTTATTCTTCATTTATTATACCACTTTGTTTCCTGATGATTTCCGTAAATACTTAAAAACAACACTATGGTTCTATTTTGACACCAAATGCATTATCACTTGAAGAGAACACATATTTCCCTCTAGTAATGACCCAGATGCAGATTTGAAAGCTACAACTGAATGTAATGGTGCTATCACATTCAGTTCTGTGTGAAGCAAAAATTGAGAGTCTGAGTGGGGCCAGTGAAACCCTCTTACAACAAATCCCAAGAGACCAGGGAAATATTTTCTATTTTTTCTTTTTCTTAAGTTCTAAAAATATTTTTTCTTAATTGTGAACTGCATTGCAACCTTCTGACTTCTAGGACAGCCCTAAACATCCCATTATAGGAAGGATTTTACATGTGTATGGGATTGCTGTAATAAGGTTTCACTGCTGTTGTTTGCTGAAAACAAATAAATGTGTGTTCATGGCTATTACATACACAGTAAATACATATGTCAAGGGTGCAGCCAAAGCTATGACTGAAGCCAAAGCATCTGATCTCTAAGTATACCTACCTAAGGCCAGCCTGAGCACAGTCTACCTGCGAATTTCAGAGGCTAAATGAGTAAACTTTCAGAACCTCAACTTTTGGCAATATGTGTACCCATATCACTGGTAGCATTTGGCAGGAATTATTCTCACTTGGGTCAGCGGTGGTGGTTGCCTAAGGGAGGGACCAGGGAATGCTTTGCAACAACTGGGCACTTAATGACGTTCACAATATCTTCACCTGGAGAACTTTCATACTATGGCCAAACAGGGAATATTAGGATAAACACAAATAATGTTTTCCCAGGACCACACCACGAAGGATGGAGTTCTGTGGAGTGAAGATATACAACCTCACCTTAGGAAGTAGATCCTTCTTCATTCATACCTGTCAAGGCAAAGAACTATGCTAGCAGTGTAAAGAAGGCTCATGATGCTACCAAATGGTCTTGGCAGATTGTTCCGATCCATGGACATCTGAATTAATGTTATAGTACTTTCACTGAACATTTTTATCTTTCTCACTGCTATTTTATTCCATGCCTGCTTAACCTGTGTGTTTATCATACATAGAAAACTGAACCATAATAAGGCTAAAAAGTATCTCCATATTGCTGGCACTTAGATCACAAACCTGTACGGTTTCAGTACAAAATACAAAACGTTCACACTACTGTATCCAAAAAAAAGGAAACAGCTGCTACACTGACATGGTCAAAAAAACAAACCATTGGGAGCTACAAATCAACAGCTATCAATAATAGTAAAGTAACAACAACAACAAAAAACCCAACAACAACAACAACAACAAACCAACTCAAGTATATCCTTAAGTGAATATACGGTCTCCCTTCAGTAGTCAGGTATTTGAATGTGTATTTAAGTCGGCAATCAAGCCTCCACCATGTACAATGGAAAATATTAGAAATGCTCTCAAAAGCTGTTAAAATATCACATTAAAAAGAGACAAGGAACAGCGAGAAAACATCTAAGAAAAGCAGGCTGTGATACAACAAGCATTTGTTAAGAAAAGCTCAGAAGTGCATTAGTTCTGGTGAGAGATATATGAGCAACAGCTCTTACGAGATGTAGAACCCATTCTGTAACTATGGGCTGTCCATATACTGTCATAGTCAGAGTCTTCCGAGAGGTCTGAAGGCTCCAAACGAGAAAGGCTACTGCGACGACCCAAGGAGTCTAGACTTGATTGGTCATCATCAGCCAAGACGTGATTATGCATCAGGTCAGTGCCTTGCCATGCTAAGGACGGGTGGGTGAAATGAAATGGCAGATGTGGATAGGCAGAGGTGGGATGAGGAGGAGAACATACAGGAATAGCCACAACCAAAAAACATGAAACAAAAGCAAAAAAGGTGATGGGAAGAGAAGGAAAAGAGAAAATATTGTTAACAAAAAAGGCATCAAAGCTCATCTATCCTTATTTCTGCCTGGGTTTTCATACTCTAAGCATAACGTAGAATAAAGGCTAGAAAAATAAAACTAGATCATATCTTTAAGAATAAAATTAGATCACAATAATTTTTAAACTTACTTTTTAAGTTGTTATTCATTTTTAAGTCTTTAAAAAATATCAAATTAAGTCCTACTACAAAAGACAATTCTGTAAATGCTTGACCATTAACCAATAACATTTAAAATTTTATAATACACAACAAATAAGTCTGTTTCACTTAATATTTGTAAAGAGAAACATGGCTAATTAAAATGTGTCCCAGTCATTAAGGGGACAGATTAGTAGGCTGCAAAATAATTTAAAAATATTTTTGACTTACTTCCTTACTTCTTCAGCTAGCTCTCTGCCAAGACTAGAAATCAACAGTAGTCATCTTAATGAATTGGGGGGGGGGGTGCCTAAACTTACCTTCTCATATATGACCACTGTAAAAATTTCAGAGTGAAGAAAGGAATTAAACAGAGTCCACTTCCCTCTCTTTCCCCCACCTCCCATGCCATACTTTGTGTGGGTGTTGCCAAGCTCCTTAATGGAATTCATGAAAATTAAGCCAATAGAAATACTCAACACTGAAAGCCATGGGAGGTGGCTGCATCATAAACATTTTGTGCTTCTATTAACTAGGATGTGAACCCTGATTGGGAGCACTGTCACCAAAGAACAGAATCAAGAAAAGAAGTGTGCAGCAAAGTTGCTAATGTTAAAAGGAGGACACTGAGAGCAAGTAGGAACAAAATGGCTGAACAGAAAAGACCTCAGGAGCAGCTGGAGGGAATGGTTAAAGTACAGCTGCCCAGGCAATTCTGATAGAGAAACACAAAAAACAGGGAAAGAGGTAAGTAAGGAGGTGGAATCCTCCAGTGGCAGAAACACCCAAAGTTAAACAAAGACTCCTTTTGTTTTTAACAGTCTACCATAGAGACAACTGTCTCTTTGCTCCTTCTCTTGGTCACACCAAAGTTAATTCAGCTTCCAAACCTTAACAAGAATAAGCAGAGGACCATTTTGTTGAAAAAAGGAAGGCAGATTCTGTAAGGTGGGTGGCTATTATTCCATAGCAACAAATTTTAACAGGATATAGTTTTAGCATACAAAGTTTCTCCTTGTTCAAAAGTACATTGAATATAGTGATTTTAATAATGTGCAATGTACATAATTTATTTTAAATATCACTTTTACTAACTTTTTAGTAAAAATGGATACTTTTCCCAACACTGAATATGATCAGGTGGTCTAGGTAAATTTGTCACAAGATAACAGCATAAGAGCTTCAACCTACTCATCCCTCCATCATTACTGTCTCAAGAATAAAAGCAAATTTTTTGTAGCAATCCTTGGTATTTTGATTACTAATTAAACAAAACAAAACAAAACAATGCAATGTCCAATGCTTTTCTTGTACAGGAATAATGGAAATACATTATAGAGAGGCAAAGTAGCACTTTGGTAGATGTATGCAAATTATAAGTAGTCAATCCCCTTTAGGCAGCCAGAAGCAGCAAAGCCATGAGCATGTTCTATGGCAACATCTCATAACTATGAAAAATGCATCTTGCACTACAGAAGATACAATCCTATGTGACTTCATTTCTCTGAGACCATAAGTTAAAATGTTTCTTAAGAAATATTTGAAATCAAAGAGTTTTAAACTGTTTTTAACAAGACTAACATTCCAATAACTTTCTGGTATCCAAGGAACCATTAATGTAGTTATTTTATTCACTCTAAAAAAGTCCCTGTAATTAATTTTTAACACTTTTACTCAACAATTTATATATACAGTCAATCCTTGGTTATTCACAGGCTAATTATACATCTGTGTATTACCTAGGATTTCTGTCTTCCCCTTCTGCTACTTTATGCATCACCTCAATACTTTCTGCCATAGAGAATATAAAGAAGAAACAAAGTGTAAACCAGTCAATGCTGGTGGCTGGTTAAAGTCTCTATAGCATAGGAAAAGTTTAAAGCTACTAGCTAAGTAATATTTTAAAAATGGATTTAATTGATTCTTGTTAGACTCATGTCTAGTGCATGGCACTTCTTCCAGTAAGCCAAAGGATTCCTACAGTATTTAAGGCACATTTTAATCTCTATTTTGCTGGGTGGAAAGTTAATGATGAAAAGTAATCTGCCAAAAGTCAAGATGGCATCAAAACTAGAATTATGGTCTGTTCATTATAAATTGCATATTAAAAAAAAAACAGATAAAAGCTATGGATTCTGAATATGATAGTAAATTGTATGTCCCCAGCAGATTTTGCAATAAAAAAAATAAACAAACCATGGAATCCTAAAGAATATTTGCCTTGCTCGGTGAGATTAATTATAGATAAGTGCTGCTGATTTGGGGTATGCATTATGCGTCATTAAAAATATTCATTACACATGAAAATACCAGTAATACTTTACATCCATAACACAAGCTTAAGCAAATGAATATCTGTGAATTTTTAAAAATCATTTGTCAAATGAATTTTCTTAATGACTATCCCAATATAAAAAAATATATATTTTGGCAGCAGTCAAATTTTATTTTAGTTTATATAAAAAATGGTAGATTCAGAATAATGTGGCTTTCAGAGGAATCTCAGTAAAAGATGAAATCAAGTTAATAGAAACTCAAAAACAGTTATTACACTGATCAATCAAATAGACTAATCTAATCTTCACATAATCTTTGTGAATACTCTGCACACCCACATAAGGTAGACATAAGTCTACTGTAGAGTTTAAACATGGAACCTGGTTTAGAACCTAAAATTCTCTTTTGTAATCTCTCAGGTTTCCTTTAGTTTGTTGTAAGGATACAGAAAAAAAATTTATTTCAGGTTTTAAAAAGTATGAGAATGCAATAGTTAGGTTTTAAAAATAACGGGCAAACAATAATGCCAAGTTCCAGAAATTAATTTGTACATTAGATGCCCAATAGCTATGAATTAAGTAGAATTCAAAAAAACATACAAACACACAATTTAAACAACATTAAAAAATTATTCAGGGAAGATTCTAAAATGCATTGAGCACAATTCTCCAAACCAAAAACTGGATGCCAAGGTACTATAAAACTGTCAATCCTCTCTGCTGGTTTACCCACAAACAGGAGAATGTGGCTTCCTCTAAAAACAGGAGCAGTCAGAGCAGGGCTTTGTCTTCTATCCAGCTACTAGGGTGCATTATTATTGCACGCTGCAAAGCCAGAGAACTGGGCTCAAAGTAACTACTGCTTGTTCAGCATCAGCCAAATGGTGAAAACAGAAACAAAATGAGGTCTTTTTCTAAACAAAAATAATACACTATATCTACCTTTACTACATTTCCATTAGCACTGTGGAAGAGGAAAGTAGAAAAACTTTCTCAATCTTGTTACTGTGTGTGAAAGTTGTCTTGAGATAATTAATAGCAGCTAACAATATAATTAAATCTAATAAATAACTTTTTCTATATCTTCAAATTACCTTACAAATTAAAGTGAAACATACTTTATGAACCTCAAACCACTACATAAATGTTACTACACAAGCTATTAAAAAAAACCCTCAAGTAACCTCATTTTCATTCTGCTTAATAAATATTCTGCCAGAAATTCCTAAGATATTACTTTTTGTTCAGTGAAAAACTTGTTGAAAGAGACTTCTACTCACCACCAGTAATACTTCATGTGACTGAGATAAGATATTAGTGTTTTCCCCAGCGACCTCTCTCTTCACTATCTTCCAGTAAAGATTTTCTTAAAACTGAAATATCTTCTAAATAGAGGCTTATACAGTAAGTCATAAAAAGTTCTTCTATTACAGACAACTCAGATCCCTTTAAATAGTTTCAAGACTTCAGTATGGGATGCTCATTTTACATGGCAAGCCATCCAAGCTCCAAGGACTAAAAACAATTCAGACATCTGACCAGTGGTCAACAATTAATTTCGGTGGCTGCTCTGCCTCTATTACTAAACAGCTTACTCTATTACTAAACATCTCCAGGTACCAAGTCTGTCAACACAACTCTATGAAACTTACTTGAATTGAGTGTTTGGCGGGTTTTGGCACTTGTGCAATATGCTTCAATAACTTTTAGAATCTGGGCATCTTCTTCCAAGGCAGCTGTACCTATCAACAGAAGAGCAAAATCTGACATCAATTAAGGAAACATTTAATACTGTGACGGATCCAAGTGATTCTTGTCCATGCCCTTCTGTCAATCTGCTACAAGGACCTATACTATGGGTCTCTCCAGATCTCTTGGCATTGCCTGGACAATATGGAGCACATGGGTTAACCATCAGTTTTCTTTCCTTCTTGACTGGTCCACTATTTTCTTCTAGCCATACAATTCCTAATGACATTCTTTCTGCTGCTTCTCCTGTGCAATTCATCATTAAGAACACTGTAGCTTCGAAAACTGATTTCCCTAAAGAATTCATGTAAAATGAAATTCATCCTGAATGTTGTCTCACTGAGACACCTAGAATTTCTTCAAATTAAAGTATGTTTCATTTAATACTTTTCAGGAAGTCAGTGACTTCAGACATTTTCAACAGTCAAATGCAATAATGAAATTTTTAAATAACTTATACAAATTTCAACAAATTTGTTGAAAAAATACATTTTGAAAATACAAAGTCAATAATTCAACATCAGAAAGGACTATCTAAGAAAATTTACCTTTTTTTCCTTCATTAGTCATTTTTTTTCCAAAGGGTTTTTAAGGTGTTTTTATTGTTACATTTTATTGAATAACCATATCAAAAGAAAATAAGTGAAATAAAAATCATTAAGAAGTATGTTTAAAGTGCTGCTACCAATTGATAAACTAAATAACTTTCAACAGATACACGAAGAACAAATGATATACTCAGCTTCACCTTGGATTACAGAGGTCATTAGATCTTATCCTCAAATATTCCTACAATAATCATTGAGAGTAGAATCTAACAACCCTATAGAGAGTTCATTTTTCTACAGGCTGACGGTAAGTTAATGGTATTAAAGATGCAGAACAGAGGAGAAGAGTTAAAATTCTTCACTGACATCATTCAGTATCTCATTTTTTTCTTCTTCATACAGCCTGAGGTCCAGCCAGAGTGCTTTGAAACCAAGGCCCAATAGTCAGGCGAGCCTCTCAGTCAATATTTTATTAACTGCTTATTATGTGCCAAGTACTTGGATAAGCAATGGGGATACAAAGAAAGGCAAAAACCAAAACAAGACCAATCAGAATCCCTGCCATCAAGGAGTACACATTCGAATGCAGAAGACAACATGTAATTACAGAGGAACCTATAGATATATACCATAAATATGAAGTCATCTGAAAGGAGGGCACTAGGACAGAGCCAGGAAAGGCATCTTTCCTGGGATCTGAGCCGAATTCTGAAGGAATCTAGGGAAACTAAGAGATGGAGGTAAGGGGGCAGAGCATTCAATGGACGAAGGACTGCCAGTGCAAAGGAGATGGGAGTGTCATAGTTTAAGAATGCCAACTGGGCCAGTGTGACTACATGTAGGGAGATGTGAGAGACCACAAAAGTAAGAAAGGTGCAGTTTAAGTGAAGAGTTTTACAGGTCAAACCCAGCAATTTATGTTTGATCCTAGAGATAAAGGGCACCTACTAGAGCTCACAGAACAGGGAGGGGTGACAAGGTCAGATCTACACTTTAGAAAAACCATCCTGGCAGCTGACAGGAGAATGAATTAGAGCAGGTAAAGACCTGAGACAGGAACACTAGTTAGAAAACTATGGTCCAGGAGAAAGTTCATTTAGGCCTGAACTAGGGTTATGGCTGTATGAGTAGAAAGGAGTGGGCATATACAAGAGATGTTGTGAAGGCAGAAATAAGATTTGGCCATGAATTGATAGGATGAAAATGAAGAGTCAAGGATGACACTGAAATTGTGGGCCTGGATGACTAGGAAAATGGCAATGTACTCAATAGTGATATAGAAATTTGGAAGGGGGAAGGTCTTGGTGGGGGAAGATAAGTTCTGTTTCAGACATGTTACATTTGAGATGCTTATAAGACTTAGGGTTTGAGATGTCCAAGAAGCATTGGGACATATGCGACTGTGGCTCAGCTACATCCTAACCTCATAGTTCCTCAACTTACTTATTTCCCATGGCCTACTCCTCCTTGTCACCTCAGCCACACACAAAGATGCTGATAGCCTTAATCTTGCCATCATACACAAATACTCCACTTCTATGTTAATGAGTTCTGAAATTTCCATATCTGATCACAATCTATTGTCATTTCACCTCTCCCCCGCCTTGCTACCACAAAACTGGTTCTTTGTCCACACCATGACATCCAATCCCTTGACCTCTCAGTTGTTTCCTAGACCATCAATCCTGCACTGGTGACACTATCTTCCTCTTTTCCCTATCTTGATCCCTTGGCAAAGGAGTTCAACTCCACAATGTCTCCTTCTGGTGAGTCCCTTGCTCCACTTATATCATCACCTATCTTGCCCTGCCAAGCCTTGACTCTGGATCATTCCCACCACTTGTTGCCTTTGCTCCTCCCCACACACTGATGAACAAAGCTGGAGAAAATCACAAAACCATGTAAACTGTTACATAACCTCAATTGAGTTCTCATTGCTACAAGGCAATCCTTTCATACCTCCCTAATCAACTCACCATCACAGCAGCTCTTCCAAACCTTTTCATCCCTCCTCAAATCTCTCATGACTCCTCCTGTCCCCTGCTCTGTGAGCTAAAGATCTTGCCTTACCATCCACTGAAAAAACAAGAGGTCATCTGCCAAGAGATCTTTCTTCTTCTCTCCTCCCAGATGCTTTCTACTACTATCTCCTCCTCCAGCATTAGATCATACCAATCAATCAATAAACATTTATTAAATGTCTACTATGTGCCAGGCACTGTGCTAAACACTGATGCTAAGCATATCACAAGAAGAGGTGGCTCTTCTTGCTAACACAAAGCCTTCTAAATGTACAAGTGATCCCACACAAGCCTATCTTTTCCAGAAGATTACCTCCTCTATCATCCTCATGCTCTCTCTTCACTTCAATTTCTTCCTGTCTACTGGCTGCTTTCCTATTGCCTATAAACATGCCTATATCTACTTCCTCAAAAAGCCCTCAGATGATGCATTCATTTTGCCAGCTTCACCCCATGTCTCACATCCCTTTTGTGGCTAAATTCCTTAAAAAGGTCATCCAGAATAGGTGCTTCCTATTGTAAGCATCTACACTTCTTTTCCTCTCTCTTAACTCTCTACGGTCTACCTTCCAACCTCGTCATTCAACCAAAACTGTTCTCTCGAAAGTTACCAACTTTCTCTGAGTTGCCAAATCTAATAACCTTTTCTCAATCCTTATCCTCTTGACTCTCTGTGGCCTGTGACACTGTCAATCACTCTCTTCTCTTTGACATCTTCTCTTTGACAGGTTTTCAGGACACTATTTTCTCCAGGTTTTCCTCCTACCAATGACTTTTCCTTCTCGGTCTCCTTTGCTGGATCTTAATCTATGTCATACCTGCTAAATATGGGTGTCCCACAAGAACGTGTACCCTCTTCCCTTCTCTTATACTTAGTGATCTCATCAGTTCCTATGGATTCAACTAACAATCTATGCTGATGATTTTCAAATCTATTTATCCAGCTCTAACTCCTAAGACCCAGATTCACATCTTCAAATGTCTACTGCATATATCGAACTAGATGTTTGTAGCTTAACGTCCAAAACTAAACTCATTATGTTACTCCCTAAAACATTTCCCAGTTCCAAACTTCTCTCTTACTGTCAAGAGTACCACCATCCTCCCAGTCATCCTGGTTCACAATCAAAGTGTCATCCTTGACTCCTCATTCTCTCTCTCACTCTTCATATTCAATGTGTTGCCAAGGCCTGTCAATCTGACCTTTGTAACATCTCTTGCTTTCATATATCTTCTCCTGACACTGCCACCCACCTTGACGTAGGCCCTCTTTATCTCATGTTACATGATTTATTCCCACAATGAGGTTCCAACCTGTTCAGGCTATACATCCAAATGGCTTTAGCTCACAAGTTATTGGTTAGAGATCCTTGTCTCTTCCATTAGACTATGGACTCCTACTGTATACCTAGAACTTAGCACTGTGCCTAGCGCATATTAGGTGATTAATAAATATGTATTAAGTGACTGACTTATAGTTATGCTGCCTAAGCCAGGGAAAGTATAACTAGAAAGACAACAGTAAAGATAAGATTAGGCTAATGTCTTGAATAGGAAGTTACATTAATGAAGTGCCCTGTAGATAGGGAACAGGATGGCAGAAATTGGATAGCTTTCCAGAGTCAGTTTAACAATGAAGGCTTTATTCTGAAATACTGTGAAATCCAAAGAGTTTTAGGAATATTAAAATAAAAATTACTAAAATATTAAAATGAAAACACAAAATGGACATGGAGGGTCAGAAAAAGATTTTTTTAAAAAATTATATGATGCCACTGCTTTTCATTTGCATGATGACTAATAGTTATGATATGATCAAATATCATTGGCAGCCACTTTATGGAAAAACTAGCAATCAGGGTTACTATTCTAGAAAATAGTGCATTTATCCTCATTCATTAATTTCTTTAAAAAACAAACTTCAATGTGTCGTTATTATAAGGTAAAATCCCTGATGAAAAATTCACAGCTGACCATAACTGGATCATTGTGGTTGGTAATAAAGCCAATGGAACAGACAAAGTAAGCAGCTGGGGAAACTTTCATGATATGTAGGAACTTATGATAAAAGTCAAGCCACATTTGTGAAAGTACGTGTGTACGTGCACCCTCATGTACACTCTTTCTATTTTCAAATTTTGCTTAGGGTACATTGTCTTATTCTAGCTCTGCATAGCATGACACAAACTTTCAATCCTAGTTAAATGACAATTAGATAATTTATTCCCACAATGAAGTTCTGACCTGTTTAGGCTATACATCCAAATGGCTTTAGCTCACAAGTTATTGTAATTTAGTTAGAGATCCTAGACTGAATGGGAGCTTGTATGTTTCAGTAGTATTTTGGGTATAAAAGAGGGCTTCAAAGAAACGCTGTAAACAGAGGCTAAAGATTTACATGGAGTCATTTAATTACACCAATCA